CCAAGTCAGCAAGCACAGGACAGCTGCCCCTTGTGCCAACATCAGAGCGGTGAGATCACAGCTGGGGCTGGACTCCTGCATCCACCAGGAGCAGCTGTGCATAGCTCGCATCATAACCTAAGGGGAAGGAATGAGGGTGGATCCAGCACTATGCTGCATCTAATCTGTGTATTTACAAGTCTTTCCAGCAACAAAATACTATTTTTGTCACATTAACATTAAACACTGTCAGTTCACACCTCTTTTCAATTAAATAATGTTTGTAACTATCATAAAAAAAACAACAACAACGACATTGTGTGCAAACTAAGCTGCGGGCGGGTGTCGCAGCAGCTGGCAGTCAGCTGTGCTGTGACAATCACAGTGATGTCACACAAGCATGTCCAGCAGATTGAGACTGTTCATAGAAAAAGGGTGAACTTTAACACTGCTTTCTTTACTGCGGTTTGCCGCCATTTGCCCTTTGCTGTTTCACTGCTTGTGATGGTTTTATAGATGTCAGCCAGCTGAGCCTCAGGCTATACACACACACACACACACACACAATCTGTCAAAAAGTGTTACATGAGAACAAATGAAATGGTAGAAGGTGTAACTAAAATTACACTGTTTAAAAATCTGCATAGTGTAGTTTTACAGATCTATTCCCAGTAGTATCATGCTGGTTTATTACAGCCTCTGTCTTTATACGGTTCTGGCCATCAGTTGCCCTAGTCTACTTATGTGACACGTTTCCCATCATCCTCCTTTCTCCATCTTATTTTTGTGATATTTGACATCCTATTAGCCTTTAAATTGTGGCACACTGCGTATCACACAGGACATCATCACCTGCTCCCGGCAACTGAGTTCATACTCCCCATCAGATTATTTGAGCCTGTATGACAGATGGACCTTTTGCATCACTGCCATCCAAACTAACTCCTTTATGACTGGCCCCTCTGATAATTAAAACAGATGAGAGAATATTAAAAGAATGAAGTTCACAGAAAAAACAGACAAAAATACCAGAGCTCAGATGTTCGGTGCTCAGGCCAGTCCCCTTGCATCCCTCTCTGATTTGCTCCTTCCTCTTTCCAATAATATGCAAAATGGAGCAGATCATGAAGTGAGTACAGTCGTAACCTCAGCACAGTTTGGGCATTTCTACTGAGGAAAGCTGAACACAGGACTATGAACTACACAAGGAGCAGGAGGTCTGCAGAGAGCGCCATAAAAGTTTGCTTAAAATCAGAGAGGACGGAGAAATGTAACTGGAGCAAGTGGTTTTAGTAAAATTATGGGTCTAGAAATGAAGTAAATGTTTGTTTGTGGAGCTATGATTTAGTTGTCAATATTGTTCCAGTTCTTTAGTAGCTCACTATACAAATGATAAATAAAGAATGGCGCCCTGATAGTTGAGTGGTTCTGGCAGGCACAAAGTATTTGCCATTCAATTCCAGCCTTGAACATTTGTCGCAGATCTTCCCTTGTCTCAGTTTCTTGTCTGCCTTTCTGTGCCCGACATCAGAAAAGGCAAATAAAAGTTCTAAAAGTGCAAAACTATAGAAGTTTTTTCTTTCTTTTTTGTCCTAATTAACCACATCTCTTAAGTCATGGGGTAACTGTATATAACTCACATACACCTCTGAGACCCTTCCTCTGGCACCTGTGCCTCCCCATACAGGCTATACACTACAGTGAGCTTTTGTAATAGTGCACTGGAGCACACAAAGGCCAAGGCTGCAGCAGCAACATCTGGACTCTGAAATGTTTGCCTCTCTCTCTAGCACATCGCTCCTACAACAGCTGGGGCTTGCCAAGCGACAGGGAGCCTGTGACAGTCATGAGGAATGGACGATAAATGATGACAAAAACCCTTGTCAGGGTCGCTGTGGAGCAAATAGCCTGGGGGAAGACATATGAAATTGTGGCAGGGGGGAACAAAGGAAGAGGAGGGAAGAAACTTGCCTGTTATAATGTGACAAGTGATGACTTAGAATATCTCAAGACATAAAATGAAATACTTTTTTGGTTTTAACTGTAGACAGGAGTTAAAATGTTAATGTCTGAGTTTGGTAATCCAAATTTCTAGTCACAATAACAGTTCAGAAATGCAGGTCACATGCAACATGTTGCATCAGTAGATTTAGCACCTTAGACATGGGTTAAAAGTTTTTCCACAATGTAATCTAGGCCACAGGCAGCAGGGTTTGTTGGACAGCTCTGTGAGAACAGTGGGAGGGGGGGAGGAGATGGGGCACACTGCTGCCAGCAGCACAAAGCAGGATTATTGGAGTCTGGACAGATACAATTTTTGCTTGCTATGATTTACATTTGTGACTTTATCTATACTGTACTTTCTGTTCCTGGGAAATAATCATGTAGATCAGGTTCATCCATCCATCCATTATGTATACCGCTTATCCCTGAATGGGGTCGCAGGGGGGGCAGGCGCCAATCCCAGCTGCCATTGGGTGAGAGGCGGGGACCACCCTGGACAGGTCGCCAATCTATTACAGGGCTGACATGTAGACAAACAACCACACAAACTCACACTCATTCCTAAGGGCAATTTAGAGTCACCAATGAACCTAAGCTGCATGTCTTTAGACTGTGGGAGGAAGCCGGCGTACCCGGAGAGAGCCCATGCAGGCAAAGGGAGAACATGCACAGAAAGGTCCCAGGTCAGCCGAGGCTCAAACCAAGAACCTTCTTGCTGTGAGGAGACAGTGCTAACCACCAGGCTGCTGTGCCATCCAGAGCTGGTTCCTCTCATAATTTATTTATTTCACATTCCTGTGAACTAAAAAAACTACAGTACTGGTATTATGTAGGAAAAAGGACAGCTTGTTTTAGCTACGCACCTGTCTCTTTAATACCTGTTCCCCAAGTGGTTCCCCACTTTGTCTGTCTGGCATTTAGATCCAAGTCACATGTCTAAACCAGGAGCTGAAAGTCAGTATAAAGCCACGTAAAGCAGGGGAGCCGCATAGTGAGTGATAATACCCTGTACATTCATTTCTGCTATTATACCAACCACTTTCATTCTGTCACGTTTTCACATCGCCTTTGAGTCACTATTATTATAAAAATATTGTTTATAGTCACTTTAAGTCCATGTCATTTGTGTGAAAAATCAGGACAGCCCAGGTTATCTCAGGGTTGATACCTCAGGTGTGTTCCATTTGTGGTTAGTCATTATGTGTGTGTGCCCTTGTTTTTCTATACTTGTGCAGCTCGAAATCTGTGAGCTACTACCTTTGTGGGGACTGGAAGTCACTTGTGGGGACCAGAAGCTGGTCGTAGTTTTTCAAATTTTACGAAAACGGTGGGGTGTAAGGTTAGAGTAAGTGGCTGATTAAGGTTAGGGTGACAGTTAATGTTAGACAGTAGCAGTTCTGACTAAGGTTAGGCAAGTCTCCTGGAAACGAATGTAAGTCTCTGTAGGGACTCAGTAAGTGACAAAAACAAGGATGTGTGTGCGCGCGTGTGTGTGAGCGTGTGCTGCGTGACTAACCTCATTAATGCATTGCCCCATGCTGCGGAGTAGTTACATGGTGGAATGGGAAAATAAGGTTTCAGGTTTTAAGGTTAGAAAGACACAGTCAGGGGGAGTGGAGGGAGCACAGGCAGAAAGCTGGATTAACAGGACACAAAATGTGTAAGGGTTTTTCAACCATTTGTGACCAGGGACAACCATTCTGACTAAAAACCTGAACCTGAAGACAGTGCCCATCTGGCTACACCAGATATTCTAAACATTATATATTTACATAAATTAGATTATTCACAAACAATAAGTAATACATAAAAATGTGTTTAAAAATACAATTAAACTTAAACATGACTCCTTCAGTGGAACTATATTATTGAATATAAGGTCAGGGATCACCTGCAATGCCTTCACAGGCGTCCAGGGGGCCGTGGACCACTGGTTGAAAACCTACATTAATACCGACATACAGTACTACTGTATGATAACAGAGGGACAGGAAACGGAGCTGCCAGGAAAGCAAAGGTATCAGCATTTGTTGTGGAGCTGAAACACTGGAAACAGGTCTCAGGCATGCAGAAGTACAGAATAATGAGATTTGTTGGCATTCACATTATTAAATCTGTTAATATTCCTTTCCTGTTCTTGCTATTTTCCATTTTGATGTCCTAGGGTGGAAGCCCGACAAAGTATTTCAATATTTTTGCTTGCTTACCTCTGTTGCTGTAATGTGACGAGCTTTCCTTTCTCTGTCTCCAGTGACAGCAAAAAGCCTTGCGTGCCTGGATTAATTTTTTTTTACAGCTATGTAATTGGCTAAATATATTTTTCCAGGAACCGAATAAGTATTAATATTTTTGAATTAGTGGTGTCACCATTCTCTTTTATGATTTAATGATGCATTTAATTGCCATATTTATTGTTTCTGTGTCATGCACTGAATGAAGAACAACATGGACCTCCAGAGGACATCCTGGGCAAAGAGTCTGAGTCAGTGGGAAAAGACCTTAAAGTTGAGAACGTACTCAAACCTCATGTGGTTTATGCTCATTAGGGGAGCTCAGTCTGACTGAGGTGCAGCCAGAGTAAGACAGAGGAAGGAGGGAGTTGGAGGTGAGTGTAATGAAGGCATGAATGAATTCAAACAAGCCTGCACACTTTTGTCTCTTTCCCACTGACCCCATTCCCTCCACCGGCTATCTAAGCATACAGTGGTTAGTGTAGCTCCACAGCACTGCACTGAACCACCAGGAATAAACAGTAATCAGCTCCAATCATATGTGTGCACTACATCAACAAATAGATTAAAAATCTGACTGATGGAGACGGCACCTCTGGCTAAAATCAATAGCAGCTTAGATACACAGTTGCTATGAAGCTAATAATGAATAATACTACATTGATTGCAACACTGAAGCGCAGCCATTTAGGCACAGATAAAGGGCTGCAGCAAATAATGGAGTGCATGATTACCTCTGAGTACAAGGGGCTGTGACTGCATCTGTGTATGCCGTTTCATACTCACCCATAAATGGTGTTGCTGGTCCTCTTGCTCGCTGCCCTGGAGCGGCTGGACTTCAGTTCCCCGCTCATGTTCATGTCTGCATGGAAAAACAACCAGTGAACTTTGTACAGATGCAGTAAAGAGTGTCACAACACAACACAGACTGAGAAGTATGTTCAGATGATACACTCTCTGGTCATGTTTATCCTACACTCTTTATTGGAGCAAGGCTGACAGTGGCTGTTTTTCACATCCATCTCTGTTGATTGCCTCTGTCACTCCGAACCAGCTGTTCACCTCCATTTTTGTTTCTCATCTGCAAGCATACCTCAGGCACCTGGTGCAACTTTAGATTCTTAAAAACCAAACCCCAGCTCTTTGTTTTTGTATGACTCTCTTGCAAACACTTATATATGCGTGGGGCAATTAACCAGGAGCCATCTTGATTACAGGATATGCCATTAGCTCACTGCTCGTGTTTCAGCGGCTTGGCTTCAGTTTACTGAAGGTGAGTAAAAAAGAGAAAAGGTTGAACCAAAAAGAAAGAAATGATAAAATGAGAGGAGAGGAGAGAAGGCTGGTCTGACATGGACAGATGGGTGGTGAATGGAGTGTGACTAGGCCAGCTGCACGTACGCTCACACAGCGTGACTGTCAAATGGCTGGAAGCTACAATTAATTAAGTATGGGTCTGAACGTGTGAAAAGAAATTTAGACATTTGTATGTGCCTTTACCTCCCACAGCCAAGATCATTTTCCAACAGTTTATAGTCAAAACTGTGACCTGCTAGATAGCTTGTCTGCAGCCAAAAGCGGATTTGCTGGCGAGGAACTTTTTAAACAAAAAGGCCAAACACTGTTAATTTCACTCAGACAAAACCGTTTAAAACCTATTTTTAAAAAGTTGTAATCCAGCCTCTGAATATACCTAAGGTATGTTGTATCATCTACACAGACTCAGGACTGTGTGGTGGGAGGATCTTTAGTCTTATGTTCTGCTGAGCGACACTGTGTGGTGGGAGGATCTTTAGTCTTATTATGTTCTGCTGAGCGACATGACAACTGTATGATTGACTGCGTGATGAAGCTATTACACAGGAATAGAGGGGAGGATGCTGCTGAGCGCTGTAGTTGTGCTCTACAGGAGCAAAGCATCAGGAGGTAATCAGACTGATATTTGGTAAACAAAAATTCCTATATGCAGCAATTAGCTTCTGCAGTGCAGACTTCAGCACACACACACACTATGTATATACATACATACTGTATATTGTGCTGTTTTAAAGTTTAATTTGCACAGATAAAAAAAACAAAACTTAAAACTCTCAAAATGTTTTGTTTTTTAATTTTTTGAGTTTGTGGATGTTTTGAATTTGAAAAAAGTTTGTTATTCATTCGAGACAATTAGTGATGCACCGAAATGAAAATTCTGGGCGGAAACCGAAAATTTAGGATGCACTTGGCCGAAAACCGAAACGAAACCGAAAATGGCTTCTTTTAAAAACTTCAAATTTTTAATACACGCTTACTCTATAATTGTGTATGTGTGTATGTATGTATATAAACATGCTAGTTTGTCTAACGTCTGAGCTCCAAATGTCTGTGGTAATGAGCTCGTGGACGTGTTTTGCAACTCCGTCATACATTTCAGGTAGACATGTTTATGCAAAATAGCGTCTGTTTGGCAGTTATAACGCGGCTCAATATGTTGTATGAGCCTACGAAATCCAATGTCCTCCACGACAGAAAACGGCTGGTCGTCTAAGGCAATGAATTCCGTTACTTTCTCAGTAATGCCACATGCTTTGGGACTATCATCTGTAAATTTCTTAGTCTTTTCAAAGGACGTGGCGACCGAGGGTATTTGTGATGTAGTTGGGGCAATTTTAACCAATGTTGTTTTGCGGTACTCCTCATATTCAATTGGATGTCGTGTTTTCAGGTGGTGTATCAAACCTGTTGTCGAAAAGTTCTTTGGCACCGTACCTCCTCTCGATATTTTCCCAGAACAAATGTTGCATATTGCAACTTTGGTGTCCTCACCTGAAACTTCAAAATGCTTCCATACCGCTGACATGCTTTGTCCTCGATGGGGAGACGCGTGACATAACAGCTCCAGCGTGAGTGAGACCTAACCTGTGCTGCGCGAGGACAGGAGGGGCGGGGCATTTTCGGGGTGTTTTGTTTTTTATTCCGGCCCGAAATAGAAATGGAATTTTAGGCCGAAAGTTCGGTGCACCCCTAGAGACAATAATGTCGGCGGTGGTTTTTCGCTGAGCCTCACATGTTTGTTTTTTTTTTCCATTTCCATTATTCACATCAGTAACACTTCACTTTTACCCATCAAAGTTAAAATTTCTAAGCACTAGGTTAAAAATTCATAAATGGTTTTTAACACACTATAATGTAGTTGTTTGCAAATATCAGTACATTTTGAGTGTTTATTTATGTGCCGTATTTCTCAAAAATGATAACTTCTCATTTGAAGACACATTTTATAATATTACAGCTGTGTACAGCTGTTTATGCACCATGGAAGGGTGTTAGTCATACCAATACAATACCTGATCTTTTTTCGCCTTGGTGTTTTTAATTAATTTATTTTACTTTTCCTTATTAGAACTTTGTTTAGCTGAAAAGCTTAAAAAACTTTAAACATTAAAAAAACAATTGTACATCTTCTTATTTTGGCATATTTTCCTCCTTATCAACACAGATGCCTGGGATGCATCATGGACACTTACTTTACCTTAGGTTGTCCATCTCAAAACTGCTGGTATGGTGACAGTATTATTCGTGAATGGCATTTAGTAATATAACACTGCATTGTGAGTCATGATTCTCACTACAGAGCAGCTAAATCAGGGACAAGCCCAAGAGACCCCAGCTAAAAAAAAGGACAGAGAGATCATGCATAAATCAAACAGTGGGCTAATCTAACAGGCAACACGTTTGTAAAATAGGAGCACCAGAGGACGCATCAAGGTCACAAACAATCAGCTATAATAAGTTAAAAAGCCTCAGCCTGTGCCACCGTCTACGGTCTGTAACTGTCGCTTTGTACGAACGGACATCAGGGTGAGTGCCAGACTGTCGCTTTATACAGAGTCAAAGTGAGAGCTGACTTAATCGCACTACCTGGAACCAAAATTGCTTAGCAACAACATGGAAAGGTTTTTTAAATTCTGGATCTCCAGAGGAAGCAGGATTGTGCTTCAGCTGACTGGACGGCCTTTGAAGACCCCAGTCAGTCAAGTGTCCTTGAATTCTCTGCCAGCTCCAGGAAAGCTACTCTGTGTGGACCCGTCTTTCCACTTGCCTGCACACAGTGATTCCTTATCAAAGCCAATTAACTATTTCATTCATTCAATCATTTGTTTTTACATTACTACTTGCAGTTAGGCTCTGGGTGGTTTGTGTATGCAGCTACATAACTAAAAAATGAAACATTAAGGCAGTCATGGATTCTGCAGAATCACATGCAGAAAGGCATGAATCGTCATGTCATTTTAATCTGTGGACTTTGAAGTCAGTGACGTGTAAGAGATGAGATAATATGATCAGATAAAATGTAGCTAAAGTTAAAAACAATCATTTTCTTTCTCCCTGGTTCTTCAATTTTTCATGCAGGGGTTTTTTCGTTCTTAAATTTTTTGGTGTATTTTTCAATTAACATTTAAATTGCATAGCTAATTTAGGAACAGAACGCAAAGGCTCGAGCTGACAGATATTTTCAGCAGTATTTCAGGCTGATGTTTTGTTATCCTGCTCACAGAGCTTTCTTTTGTCAAACTTTCCTTCCAAAAAGACAAATGAATTAAACCAATTATGACTGAACAATTCTGCAACAATCATATAAACATGAACACCTGCATTGATTGCGTTGGCAGATTTAAGAAACTATTTCAAAGCCTGGTGAAATATTATGGTGCATAATTGGTAATGAATTGCTAAAATCATACAATTTTTGATCATCTCTGCTCAAAGCACAGTAGTCAAAATATAAATATTTGCAAACAGCAGACACATTAGTGTGGAATATGCTGTTTCTTTTTGTGCACAATGAATTTCCACACCTGAGTGCTCATTTTTCACAGATATCCTGCCTTAGCCTTCTAATTAATTAGGTATGTTTTATATCCTGTACTGTATGCTCTGCATCCTGCTGCACATTTTGCTGATGTTTAGAATGTTTTACAGATCATAAGAGGCTGTTCTTTGCTTGTTGCCACATTAATATGCTCACATCTTTTTAGCCCTCACTTGCTACAAAGTTTACTGGTCATAGTCCAGCACCTTACATATGAAGAGGTAGTTTATCAAATGTGGATGTAAAGGTGCTGCATTCATGCCTCCACTTCACTGCCGTGCTACGTCTTTAGGTCAGACCTCTCAGGCCAGACCTGCTGTCAATTAGCAATCACCAAGCTTTAGTTTTCACTTTTAGGCATAAAGTCAGTGTAATCACGGGCATTACTGTCAACATGAAATGTGGATTATAACCCTAACTGATAAAAAAAAGAGAAGCAGAGTGGAAAGATGGGGATGGTTTATATGAAAAGATGTCATGTTTGTGTGCCAAACAGAAAGATTGAATCTTTACACCATAAAAGTGGAGAAGATGGTGAACAAAAGCTATTGCGTTTGAATGGGGGAGACACAGTAGTGCCACCATTATACATGGTCTGAGTTGCAGACCCTGAAAAGATCTCACATTATTGCAAACCACACAGAACTGACCTGGACTGAGGTTCACTTTCACTGCAAAGTCTTTCAGACTGTAATGAACTCTTTGCTTTCCTTACAAATGTTTAGCTTTGTGAGTGGAGTGCCACTGCTGAACTAGTGTGGAAGTTGTGAGGTGATGTAGCCACTCTGCATGTCTGGTAAAATACTGTAGAAAAAAAATCCTATTCATTCTACAACTGAGGAAAAAAGAAAACAAAATGAATGCTTAATCCACTGCCAGAGAGCAGCAGCTCAACATAATTAAGCCTTTGGCCATTTCTGTTTTCACAAGCCATCATGGCCTGAGAGAGACCGCTGACCTTGGCATTGTGAGAGTCAGGATGAGCTTTGAGCATATGCACCTCACAGTTCAACTGTAAACATGAAGTTCTCAGAAACATCTCTTTATGCATCACAGAGTTCACATCTTAAACTTCCACTTTCCCTGTGTTTCTGCAGACCCTTATCCACAACACCATGTGATTGTATCAGTGTGTAGGCACAGAGAAAGACAGAAAACAGCTATGAGTGAAAAGTAAAAAGAAACTGGGGATTCAAGATGAAGTACAGTGATGAGCAAACTAAAAGCTGAATATATGGAGAAATTTTGTAGAATCCAGATAAAGAGCAAAAAATGAGAGGCACAGTGGAAAACACTTCCTTTCAGAAACACAGTGCTGCATGCAAACATCCACTAACACATGCATGCACACACATAAAGGGATAAAGCCTGGTATACTCACATCTTGGGCTGAACAGGGTCATATTAAGAATGCAGAAATCTAAACGGGAGGCTGAGAGAAGAGAGGTTAGCTGAACACTTTGCTTCTCTCTTGCAACTCTCTCTTTTTTACGTCCTCACTATCGTTGAGTGTCTCCACAGGGTACCTTTTGGCTGACGGCTATGATACTACTGAGTCAGTGACAAACCAGATAGAGAAGCACCAATGGGATGTACCAACTGTCTTCAAGTAGCAGGGGTGGACAGGGCAGTGCCGGGCTGTTCCATAAGCGGGAGAGCTGACAGGAGGATTGGATAAGTGTGCAGCTGGTTTCCCCTCAGCAACAGGGACTTGGCTGGAGCTCAGGTCTTTCAAATTCCAGCCAGGCGGAGAGGAAGCTGTCGGAAAGCGTGTGCATGAGTGTGCTTACATCTTAATTCACATATCAAAGAGCAGAAACCCGGAGACACAACTGTGCACTTTCTTCACTTCATATGTGGCTGACATCATACAATATACCCATGTAACTACACAAAATCATAAACGTGCACACTCACGAGGATGATGGAGCAATCAGAGAATAATATATATGCATATATGATGAGGAAAGAAGACTCTCTGCCCAGTGTGATTATAATAACAAATACAGAAGCTATATCTGATGCACTGATAAGGAATCATAAGTTAAAACTGCTTACGCAAACAATGAGGTCAGTCATTTTCTTTATTAATAGTATTTTCAACAATGCCTCTACAGAGACTAAAACCAACAGTAACTTGCTGCTACTCATATTAATGTTATCCATGTCCAACCTAGATCAGCTTATTCAGCTGCGCTGATAGATCTCCATTGTTGCTCAAAAACAATTAAAAAGACGTGAGTGAAACACTGAGGCCTATGGCACAGACAGGTTGAAGACTGACAAATATTAACTGTGAATAGAGGCAATTCATTTCTGGTTTTAGTCTCGGTACAGGGATTGTTGAATTCCTTTAATATAGAAAATGACTGGCCTTATCCTTTAATCTCCACACAGAACCCTGATGCATAATGAATAGGCAAGCTACAAAATGAGAAAGCAACCAAGGCTTTTAATAAATCTCCAATAATATCATTATTATTATTTTTCACAACATTATTTCTATCTCAAGGATTTTGATTATAGTTAATACCACATCTGAAAACACACCCAGCAGAACCACTGTGCATGCTATCTAATTGTTGTTCCATTTTTCTTGTGCGGTAGCTGCAGAGTGAATACACCTGAGGGTATTTAATCTTTCGGGCTCCTGAGGAGAGGCTTTCATGTGGGTTTAATTAACTTCTTCAACAACCAACACAGGGTAAGACTGGCTGTCAGCCAGACTTTAATCTTAGTCAACTCTAAAATGATTATTGCCTCTTTTCACACTACACTTAACCCAGTCACAATTGCGTTATTAAGCTGTTTACCCTTGGATAACTGCTCTCAGTGATATGACAAGGAGCTGAATTAGCCCAGGGTCATCAGTCTATAAGTTACCAATGCATTTAGTTAGAAATATGCATTTATCTTAAAACGTACACCAATCAGCCACAACATTCTGACCACTGACAGGTGAAGTGAACAGCATTATTTAGTTCATTACAATGGGTTAGTTTAGCCTATGAATGCACAATTAAAAATCAGAGGAGGTTTGTGAACATTTCACTTAAAAAGGCATGACTTGCCTGATTCTCACCACGCTAACTTGGGACTTGTACATGTGTGACTTATCCCACCTTTGCATTTACAAAAAGCAGGCTAAATATAAACCAGTACCATTAATGTTATACGTTAGTATCATTATGAAATGCTAAAGATGGTCAGAACAGTGTACAATGTATTATGATCACTCACATCACATGAGCTACTGTTCAGCCTGCTAAAACTGCTCACATTGCAGCACAACACAGCACTCCTCGAGGATTAAGCAAGTACAGACAGTTCTTTGTGCAAGAACACACCAAACATATTGTACTCACTATGTATGCCTTTATAGAGTCTGGACAAAAGGTTTAGTCTCTGGCTTTGTTTGTTTATAGCACTGACTTCATCCAGTCTTTTCAGGTAAGTGCATTTGGGTTCACTGTCAGCCATCTGGGGAATTAAACACAGCAAAGAGATGAGGGGGATGAGAGGCAGACAGTAGGGAGGAAAAGAGGTAGTGGAGCAGAACTCGTCTTGATGCAGCCCAGCGGACTGACTCACCTGAACAGAAAGGCCTGGGGGGGAGGGCAACAAGCAATGAGAGGGAAAATTAGCCCGGAGGCTCAGGAAATGGTTGGACTGAGTTTAAACATACATGGAAATATTGACAGAATGAACGAGAATGAAATAATAAGGAAAAATGAAATAAAAACAAGCTGCTATACACAAGCCAAGTTGAGGAATATATTTACCTTAGGATACACAGGTTTGGATTTTAGCAGAATACATTGAAATATATTTAAACTATTCAGGATAAAGATATTTTAAAAAAAATAGATTTTTTGTGCTCTGTTATTTCACAAAGTTTCTGGGAATACTACTAGCAACTTCTTTGAAAGTGGTTCTAACTAGTATTTCCTAGAGTGCAGAAAATAAAGAAGTATTACTTTTTATGTTTAAACTAGGCAGTGAGCAGTGAGAATTTTATTTTAGCTGACATGCTCAGGCTGTGCTTACCAAACTGACCACACAGCAAAGCTGATACTTTATGCTGTGGGCTATATACTGTTGATGAACTCTCACGAGGAGGCAGGCAGCCATGCTGACGTTCAGCAGTCAGCTAGGAATGACTGGAAGCAAG